CGATGTTTACTTGCCAAATCAATATTTCGTTTGGGTCACAACTAGTGGGCGAGATATTCAGCAATGTCTTACACGGTGGAGGCGAGATGCAATGTACCGAACCGGTTTGAGAGAAGCTGTAATCGTCACGATAAGAACTACTAACGACTTCGTTACTCGAATCGAGTATCATAATGCGTATCACATGACTGGAATATACTCTTCGCAACGATGGTATCGAATTGATTGTCGGCCCACCGACGACTGCTTCATGCTAATTAAATCTGTAGGTAGAAACGTATCCGAGCGAAACAAATACTTTTGGTCATCTTCGGTACATAAGGACACAAAGATAATGCGTATTAATGACGTATTAAGTACAGTGGATTTGGGGAAAGTACGCGCTTCAAGAAATGGTCATCTCGAAATTGCGAATTTACTAACGTTTAATGGGTTCATAAGCTATTGGATTTTGCAAGATGTTATCCCATACAATATTACACATGTCGGCTGGGCTTCTCACAGTTTCCCGCCAGTCCAAAAACCTCCATCACATCATATAGCCCACAGAATTACGTACATTTCTCTGGGACCCCAGAGGTTTAGTTACGTTACATGTTATGAAGTGCAACCAATAAATTCTGGACATCTCTATGCTCTAGTGACTCCATTCGATTGGGCAACTTGGGCCTGTATTGTGATTAGTTTTCTCCTTTGTCTCGTCATTTGCTTATTCATCACCGCTAAAAACGGATTGTTCAACATTGATGGCATGGCCATGGGAGATTCATTTTCCGGGGTCAGGATGCTTATTGCAATCCGGGTAATTCTTGTAGGCACTGTATTATCAAATTGGTACACAACTATTTTTACGATGGAAATGATAGTCCCAGTGACATATGTGTCCACATGGAATAATTTGGTGCAAGACGTGGAGGGCTTACAAGTTATGATTCCGTTCAGTCTGCTTGATGAAATAGAGATTGATACGTCTAACATGTCTGATATTTCAAGGCATGCATACTTCTTTAACAACGTTATGCAGCGATTAGTTGGGTTATCAGGTGGTCAAGGGAATAAACGACAACTCAGCGCTTATGTCAAGCTTGCAAAAAATACTGTTAATTTCCTTCGGTCCTACTTGGGGATCGGCACAGATGGGAGGTCATACGGAAATGGGACGTATAATAAGCAATTGGCTATGGGTATGAATGCTCCCTATGACAGAAACACTTTCAAAAAGTCGCCAGTGCAGCCGATATCACACCGAGAACCAAATTTGTTACTGAAAAGTTTGTCGACCTGTGGCAAGGTTGCCTTTATAGATACAAAAGACAATATTGCTGAACTTACCCCATTTCTAAATGATAACAAAAGACGCATAAAATATCTAAGGGGCGACGACGATATCTTATTTTCTGTTCCTCGCGGGTGGCAGATACTCTCAGTAAGATACAATTATGGTTTGAAGAGACTTAAGGTGATGATAACGTCCGGGATTCTTTCGCATTGGGAGATGTTATACAGCTTTCAAAATCATAGAAAGGGCTTTACTCATTATGCAAATTGAACTCATCCTAGGTTTGATTCCGTTTCGCAATTAGACATGAATTCTAAGATTACAATGGGATTTTATATCTGTGGAATTTGCCTTGTTTTTTGTGTCATCCAGTTCTGCATGGAATTTGCCTTGTATTTAATTGGAAAACGCGGAGGTTGTAGGAACAAACTCTTTTTTAGTTCTTAATCTGTATAAGGCTGTTTTTTGTAGATGTTGTTTATGCCGCATGTAGACGTAAACACAAATTTAGACAGTATTTAAATGTGTCAAATTAAAGTATGTCTGACAGCTACATGTTAGCGTTTAGAGTTTCTTACCACTAGCAAGGGATGGCAACCAACTGCTTAGCATGGGGTAGGTGAGTTATCATGCGTGCATCCATGTAATTTGATGAAGCAACGTTATAATTGCGCTTGGTCTTTGCATCAGATTATCAATGTAGCAATTACTGGTACAAAAACAATTTACATCTGATCAATATATTGTATCTGTTACAATTAATCTTCATTCTTATGATAATTTGAATAAACATACCAACCCCTTTCGGATAAAGTGTGACTTTAATATTAATTTTCAATTAACTTCGTACGATAGAAATATATATCTAGGTATTATAGAATAAGTAAATATTATTAATACATATTTTAAATCTAGACAAGAATGCATAAGTACATATTTGGAATACCTCAATCCTTAATCATGATGAGACAAGAAACGGTCTGATTTATACAAAACGTTTGTATTGTGAGCGGAATCAATCTGTCAACGAAATTCATCCACATTCTTAAGACCTTAAGACTGGGACAACTCCTTAACCTTCTTTGTACAATAAATCGATTTCTCTTGTCACAAATGTGAACAAGTCTTTCGGTCAAGTTGGACAACGTATTTTCCGAATTTTTATTTACATAAGAGGCAAACGTTAGAACCACCAAGTTGGTCAGCACAGAATCGACCATGACCAAGGGAAATGTAAATTCAGGGTAAACCTCTTTCTTAAGGTAACGTGACTCTGAATTTGGTATGGTTTACTCATAATTCCAGTTCAGGATGTAATTTACCCTTCGAAAGGGTAACACTATTTTTTAGAGTGCACATGTACAACATAGGTATTCTGATTCATCGAAAGCAAATTTCTTATCTGAACTTTATTTTGATGATTGAAGCACACAAATTTCCGAAAAATCTTGCACCCAATTTCGCATTTTTCCCACCTTATCAAAAAGGTGAAGACAGAAAAGCCTGTTTTTTCCTCTTCCTTAATAACGACCTGGATAACAAGGAAGCATTTTGTGGAGGAAACATAAATAAACAAATTTGAGTCTTAAATCTCATCACATCATCATTTCCCGTCCCGCTGATTACTTTGCTTGTTTACGCAACGTCGTGTCTGGGGACGAGATGAAAGGAAAAAAATGAGCCATTGACGTCAATCCCGGTGTGAAATTGGACTCGGGAAAGGCAGCCACCGTTTCGAAGGAGCAGATGTGCCCGATGAGATGCAATGAAGGAAGAAAATTTGAGACGGTGTGAAAATAAAAATGAGCAAATATTCAAGAAAGTAGAAAAAAGTGTGGAATTTGCAGTCAGGAAGATCATCATCTGCTCATTAATGCGAACGAGCAGATGACAGGGTAACTTTGTAATGATGTAAAATTGTGGAACTTGCGGGGGCTAAAGTACTACCTTGTGGTGTAACAAATATTTGTGCATTCGCGTAACTTGATAAACCACGTAAACTTGCAATTATGTACTCAGGTATGCGAAGAAAGAGAGTGAGTTCCCAAATAGATAATTTATGGAAGCAAGATTATGTATAGAAATTTCTATTTTGCATAGGCTTTCATTAATTGTTTGCACATGATGATGTTCTGATCCGTAATTTCACACTTATAAATCCAGTACAATGATATGCATACTCCGTACTGGAATTGATTTGGCATTAATTTCCTACCGGTTAGGTAGCAGTTTGTTTCTGAGGCATAAATGCTTCATGACCACCACATTACTGGAACGCAATGCTTTTCGTTACCACACATATTTACATACGCACATGCATATGCAAATCTGGGAAACGATAATTTAATACAAGTTTTCCAAGAGTGCAAATAATTATAATTTTATAAAAGTTTACCTTTTGCAGACAATTTATGCAACTAAAATATAACACATTTCCTAATCAACTTTCTCACCAAGCGTTTGTTTTGTAATCTTTTTCATAATTTGCACGTACTTGCCAACTGCAGGAAGATTTTTTATACACAATTACAGATTGCATACATGTTTTATTCAGGGATTAAACTTGAAGTTAATTTATGTATGATGAAAGTTTTTGTGTAAAAAAATTGCATACAAAAAAACAATTGAATTTAATTCATTAAATCATTTATAACTGCAAATTTCAGACCAATTTTTTCCACGGTTAACCATTAAGGCGTACGGGTAATTTTTTATACAGAATTGGTGCAAAATAATGGCCCGTGTGGGGATCGAACCCAAGACCTCCGCGTTATTAGCACGGCGCTCTAACCAACTGAGCTAACGGGCCTAGTATGTTGGGCACATTTCTTTCCAGCCGGAGTTACAGATCGGCCAAAAAATTGGGCACATTCCAGCTCTTTTTATGAGAGCCAAGTGTGCGGGCCATGCGTAAAGAATGTCAATATTCCGTTGAGATTGGAAAGCTTGAAAAGTATCACAAACCAAGATTGGCACGCTGGAAAAAAGTTGATAGTTATAATATCATAATAAGAGAAATTTGACACATCGTTTATGCCGGGACCCTGAGTAATCTGCTGGATGCACGTGTTGCTCTGGGGGCTGTGCGTAAAAAATGACACTAATCTGTTGCGATTAGACTGCTTGGATAATAATATATATAGTCAATAGTCAATATTGTCCTGATAGAAAGTGAATTTTAAAATAATGGAGGACAAATTAAAGACGTCATTTATGCAGGAAACCGAAAAAACACAACATAATCTGCTGGATTTCTTCTCCTTATCTGTATTGAGTGTAATGATTATGTTCATAACTGGGTATGTCAAATAGAGCTTATCGAGGTTACCAGTGAGGTTATCTGGGTTTTGTGAAATCCAAGTTAAGCGTATTATAAACTGCAAATATCAGAAATATATACGATTACAAACTTAATTATGATCATAAAAGTATATCTAAATGTATTCCGGAATATAAAGCCTAGTAATACAACGATTAATAATTTGCACATATTTTATATATGCACATCTTATTTTATCGGGCAGCTTAAGAATTAATTAAGGAACTTAACTGGTCCAATGAAATTTTGATCTTTTAAAATTTATTTCTTGAAGATTAAGTTGAAGATAATAAATTGCACGGAAAAGTTTTTCATGGATGAATTAATTTCACCCGTTTGAATTTAACACACAGTTAGAAAACATGCTCCAAATTAAGATCACAATAAACTTGACAGAGTTGATTATACTTCGTGCAAAGCATGTAGCCCGGTTCTTCGGAGCTGACGTAGTGAAGAAATTATCCGGGTATCAGTCCCGCATTCTTGCTTAACTAAGAGAAAACGTCGGTGATTCTCATTTTTTACCGATATTATTATCTATTCCTCCCCTCGTGTTATTTTGTGAATGTGCAGCACAGTCAGTCGTGTGCAGTGATTAGTGAGAGAAAGAAAGAGAGAAGTTAAGCCAAGCCAAGAAAAAATACGTTGGTTTCTTAGTAAGACAATCTTTGCAACCTTCGCAATTATCCGGCCATTAATACCCAATTTCTGTTCCTCAAGCTTGTACAAAGTTTTGTGTGAGTGATATCGAAGCAATTCTCGTCATAAAATCGGAACCATTGTTTAAAAATTTACATGCGAGATAAGCTAACCAAGTTTTATACAGTGAAAGTAAATGAATTCAGCAAAAATATTATTGTGTTTTACATCCAAAATTTGCGTGCGCTGAAAAATTGCAAAATTTTTAGTTTGAATTGCACACCTGGAAAAATTGAGTTTAAAAAAGAGACTCGACAAAAGTAAGGTTTTTAAGTGAATGATAATAATGGAGGGTGAACAAAGGGGGCGAACCAGTCGGGGTCAGACGCCGGATCGTTTAGATGCCAAAGGTGGGGGAGGTGGTGGTGGGGGTTCAAACAGTCGTCGCGGGTCACATCTCCTGGTCGCCGCAGGAATTGGGTATGAACAAAGACGACGATTATCGCAACAAAATGCAGAAGCGCATGGCAAAGTCTTTCAACAAGGAAACCAGGTCAGTAAATGGTGCAAGAATTTTGGAAGGGTTATAAAGAAATCGTAGCTATCTTAAATAAGAGGTTGATCCATAAATTAATGATTAATTTATAGTAAACGAAACAATAAATTTACACAATTGGTATGTACAAACAGGCGAAATTTTGAACCCTTTTAAATCTCACACACTTAAGCTTTTGTTAAAAAAGTAGTTTCGAAATATTTTCCGTTTTAACGGCATTGCAAAGTTACAAATTTTCTGTGTTGGAAACATGCAAATTATTTATTGGGCATACTCACCGCAAACTTTGGCATAATCTGCAGATTTCGCTAATTGAAAAAATTACTGTGCCACAGTTTGTTTGCAAAAAATAAGGGAAAGTTAAACTAGCAATAAATCGGGTTGTTTTTATTTTCCAATACTACTTTGCTAAAAAAGTTATGTACATACTTATTGACGCCCAGTGACTCAGTTTATTACCGAGTTTATTAAATTGCGTGGTTGTCATATGACGACACAGTTTCCGAGTAATTGATCAGGGAGGAAGTTGTTGTGTGAACAGTACATTAGTTTCCGGAGTGGGCGGTAATGTTTATATGTATGTTTTTTAGAAAATGTGTGGTTTTTCTTGTTATCTGGTTTCATATTCGATGTTAAATGTGACATGATTCACAGCCAGAGATGTATTTAAGATGAAATCAAAAAGGATGAGGCTTTGCATGAAGAAATTATATGATTTTATCTGTTTAACATTGGCCAAAATAATAGAGGGTTACATGTAAAATGCCCAAATTAGACGACATCCATCATGCACGAACCTTTAGCTGGTGAGAAATTGGGTTAGTATTTCGGCATTTATTTCCCTCAGCGAAACTGTCTGGCTGAGGGAATTAAGTCAAATGGAATAAAGTATATGATTCTTTAACGAAAGTATGTACAGAAATAATGTGTGTTGAATACTGTTAAGCGTACACTCTTAAAAATAATGTTAATCATTTTAACAGTAAACTTACTCCTAGTTCTAAATTAAGTAAACTTTGCAAAATTCCGAGAAAATTTCACTCTTTATCAAGTTAATCTTACTTTGAATTTATGTAGTTTACATATTTATGTAGAATTAAGAGTGTATTTACTTTTCCAATGGATAACATTATTTTTAAGAGTGTGGTTCCAATATTGTGAGGATGGCTGTTTTACCCCCAAAAACAACCAAGCTTAGCTACTTACCCGGAGTAAGAATTGGGAAATAATCATATCTATTTTTACACCATTTCCCCCCAGACTTTTCCATTTCGTGTCTGCCTGCATGCAAGACTTGGATGCATCTGGATCTTATTGACAAACATCCGAAATATATTTCGGATGTTTGTCTACAAATTGGGGGGCCGTTCAAATAATTGGTCACCAATTTAACCAAGTATATTTGCACAAGATTGTTTCGCAAATTTTTCCATATTTTTCAATTTGTGATGTGTAACCGTCACGAATTTTGACCACATAACGTTTGCACAGCCCCGACAGACAATTCTGTTAACATGTTGAATAATGAAATGGAAAGTTATTTCAAGATGAGAAGAATTATTAAGACCCGTGTGAAATATGATACCGGCATTTGTTCATATCATGCATAATTCTTACTCGTGCCAATTTGTGCGACATGGATTTATTGTGAGGAGAAGGCGGATATGTATTCAAACATGTGCAACTTTTTTTATTATTTTGCGAACACCTCCGGTCAGACGTCGTCCGTGTGCTATCTATTTTGCATAATAGATGGCAAAATAGATTACACAAATTTCGGTATATGTTTTTGAAAATATTGTTGTATATTTCTACATAGGTTTTAAGATAAACAAAAATTTCCAAGAGTATTTTTTAAAAATACAGAAATCACGGAGATATTACATGAAGAAATACAGTTTAGGTTGTAGATATTTCAAAAATGTTAGACTGACTAACTTGTTTCGTAAAAAGTGGACCACAAAAAATCAGGACAATTCCAAAATAAAAATTTGGAAAAAGTTCGTATCTATTTTTATGGTTTTTTCATACATATTTCATAAATAAATAGTTTTGTTGCAAATGTATAGCCGGCCTCTGATTCTCGGGTAATGAAAACCTCTCTGATGACAAAGAAAGTTCTGAATTTAAAATTAAATCCAGACTAAAATGACCTCCGCACAGAAATGTGTAATTTTGATGCATGCATATTTGCGAAGAGCGAAAAATGAAGTTATAGTTAGACAGGGCCGATGGAACCGTGATGTCCTCTGTCTGACCAGTTTATGAGGAAGCCTATCAATTTTTACGTAAATGTCCTTACATCGATGTGAGGCGCAAATGAATTTTGTTAATCTGGATCCCAAACATACATAGGTTCATTTGCTAATTATATTTAATTAGGTTATTAATCCGTAATACTAATCTGTAATCTTTAGGTCGGGCTATGTCACGTATTTAGCTATGTTTTCATAAGTCGGAACTTTCATCTACTCGTTACCCACGATAAGTTTATTATTACATTTTTTTATACCCGGGAGATACTTATGTAGAGCACATTCATTTTAGATGATTAATGTTGATCTTAAAATAATTAATGTGCATATCTCAGCCCAATTGGAGCGTGGGTTTTAATTTGCATATTTATTTTTCTTATGTAGGTTTATATAGAAGACAAGGATGGCAACGTGACGAGGTTGGAGGTGGTCGAGGTGCATGAGAAGATGGGCCTTTTGCGAAAAGCCGTGCCCACGTTGCCGGTCTTTTTCGCCATTATTTTCTGCCTGCTAAACACAATCCTTCCCGGGACAGGTGAATATTTGCATAATAATGCACTCTTAAAAACCTGGTATTAAATCATTACTAGTCAGAGAATATATATTGTTCAACCCGGCACTGGTATACATAACAAAGAGCATTAATTTTTAGTAATGTTGTGGTTATGAAAAATGTACCCTTCAGAAACAAACTGTTACCAGTCTGGTAGAAAATAATTACACAATCAATGCCAGATTTTTAACGGTGGAGATTCTGCACTCGAAATTGTATGTTCGAAAACCTCGCCAAATTTTTGCTAATTTTTAATAACGATTTTCAGGGACGATATTGGGTGCCTTAAGTCTCTTTTGTTGTGGTAAATGCCATCACGACACGGTCACGAGGGGCGTCAAGTATGGCTTTGTCGCAGCAATATTGCAAATTGTGACAGCCGTGTTTATTGTGGGATGGATCTATAGTATTTATTATGGCGTCACTATGGTCCAAGATTCGCGTATGTACCAACATTTTTATTAAACGTATAAAACATATTTTCGAAATCATATGGTAATCTTTCAGGACAATGTGTTCTTTATAATTTTTTTATTTATTTTTTGATTGTAGTTCTAAAAGGAGCTGGTGCAGAAAGGCAAGATGAAGTTAGCGAGGACGTTGAGAAGAATAAAAATTCACAGGACCATTAACTCCGAGTAGGGGAAACTAATGTCTCATTTTTTGAACCAATTCACTTACCTATTCACTCTTAAAAATAATGCGACCTTTTGAAAAGTAAAGTCTCAAATTTACGTCAAGCGTCCAGTTAATTTGAAAAATAGCAAAGGTTTACGAGGGATTTTGTATAGTTTATACATATGTAAAGTCTATATAGATGTCATTTACTTGTCAAAAGGGTACCATTATTTTTAAGAGTGTGAGGATTTCTCGTTATAAGTACTTTCCTTTATCTAACAAGGGAAGGTCCCCGACCGCTTATCGTGTCCAGGGTACCCACTATGTTTTTTAGAATCTACTAGGACCCAAGATGAAGGATTCATTCATATTTCCGTGTAAAACTCATATGTGGCGTCGTGCCGTGGCGCCAAATTCGCCAAATTTGAATGTTTTTATTTTTGAAACCGCCATAACTTTTGAAATCATGGACGGATTTTAAAAATTTTTGGCAAAAATCATGACAAGGAGTTCAACTTTCGTATTCCATGAAATTTTTTCCAAAATTATCGCTTTTAACTTTTCGCAAAATTTCGTAATTTTCTAACAAATGGGGGTTCGTCGAAAAAATGCTAAAAATATCTCAAAAAATAGAAATTTGTGATTTTTATTTTTTTCTCGAAAATTTCGACTTTTGTGATCATTTTAAGCATAAAATTTTGAAAATCCGACATAAACTACAAAAGTTATGAAGGTTTGAAATTGGTCGAAAATGGAAATTTTTAAGCTTGGCGCCACGCCATGGCGCCAAATATGAGTTTTACACGGAAATATCAACGAATCCTTCATCTGGGGTCCTAGAAGATTCTAGAAAACATAGTGGGTACCCTGGACACGATAAGCAGTCGGGGACCTTCCCTTGTAAGTGCGTATCGCAATTTGTGTGCATAAATGAATGAATCTCAATTTTCGTACGAATTTACAAAAATATTTAAACGTCTCTGGATACCCGACGAATGTAAATATATAAATCACTGGTCCCTTTGGTTATAAATTTATATTTAAATAGGAATTATCTGTAACCGGTCTCCTTCTTCTCCCTGTTAAGTTCACACTCTAAATAATTTGTATTTCCTTACTTTTCCTTGTGCGTGTTGTTGTATGTATGTAGGTCAAGGTTGAAGACAATTGTGGATTAGTTACTAAATAATATTCCGATTTTGTGCGTTAATTTACATAATACTCTGTAATATGTGTCGAGCAAAGAAAATTGTATTAAACATTGTTTTCTATCTGGATGTACACAGAAACTTTGAAAACGTGGGAAATTTTTATTATGTTACTGAGAGAATTTTGCTGTTGCTGCTTTTAGGCGAAATCGGTTATATTATTTTTTTAGTATTTTCCTGTAACAAAGGATTTGCTTCTGTTTGTTGAAATGTGCATCCGACATGTGGCGTCTGCATTTCCAAATTGATGTGCACTCTTAAAAATGAAGTTAAACTTGTGAGATTAATATGTCCCTGAATGATTGATCCCTGCATTTTCCCTAGAAATCTAATAAACCTTCCGATTGATTTTTGCATCGATATAACATGAAAAATGGGAAGTGTTATGACAGAATATTGCGAATGTGGGGTTGGTTCGTTGTGCAAAAAGTGGGATCGCCCACCAGGAGGAATTGAACCTCTAGCTATTTCTAGCTCGATAGGTTTGAAGCCTATCCCCCAGACCACTGAGGCTCAGCTGGGCAGAGTGGTTTACTTTAGGCCCGTAGTTATTCCACGTTCTGGTAACATGGAACCAGGGTTCCGCCAACATGGTTTTTTTATCGAACATATTTTTATTTCATAAATCGGCAAATTTCATAAATATTTGAAGACCAATTTTACTCTTGTATAAATTATTTGTTGCTTTGCATGTTTTCAAGGTATCTGTGTTTTTGGTGTATTTCTGTTTTTTGCTTAATAGAAAGCAAAAAATGTATTTTGCGAATGTAAAATTTATTTGAGTTGGGGATCGAAAATTTTAAAATTAGGACACTAATTAAATCGTGTTAAATGGAAATGCGAGATGAGGAACCCTATTAGGCCAACAATTTTATCTGGCTGTGCATACATACATGTGACAAATCACTTCTGATTGGAAAACATCACTTACATACTCAATCAAAGCTATGGTAAATTATTATACGACCTGCAGTATCAACGATCAACGAGGGATGCTGGATTTCTTATACTTTTGTGTTATCATATCCTATTTGTCATATTTCACTAATCATGTTTTATTTATATGTCTATCTCTTCGTACAGTTAAATTATGCACATTTGTATCATATGGAAAAGTATTAATAAGTGCAAAATAGCATTGCGTAATCTCCTACAATTGTATATTTTGTTTTCTTGTTCTTCAATTGTTTACAAAACTTGTCACATTTAATATGCATACTAAATATATATTTTCATGCATTTGCATACATACTTGCATGCTAAATGTGTACTCTGGCCTAGGGACCATGCAAAAAACATGTGATCGACTTGAGGGGGGGGGGCGCATTCGCATTCTGTCTTTCCCCCGTTAAGTATATCGCGGAGCGTACAATAGGTTACTAGGGCTAGGGGTCATAATTCTCCGAAAATGGATCACATTCTTAATGTACGGCCTATTAGTCAGAATTCGAAAGTTAAGACATGCTGTGGATTATTCAAAATCCTTAGAAACCTAAAAATATACAAGGTCCCTTAACCATTTAAGGGCTCTGACCTTTCTTCTTTGATGCAACAAATTTTGACGCAAAGCATACCACAAAACCGGTAAGGGAACGTCCATATATGACGACATCATTTTAGTGGGTGGGAGTTTCTGGTCTTCATATCTTTCCCATCTTAAAATTCCCTATCGCTTAATGTTTCCGTTGGATGGGTGTATACTAAAATCAAGAATTTGTGATAGCATGATATATGGCTAGTCCCCAAACCCACCTCGTCTAGAGGTTCATGCATAAGTAACGTTATTAAAAATGTGACGCATGAACTTTTCTTTAAAGCAGTATAACGATTTTATTTCATAATCCTAAAATATCGTAACCAACATGAAATTGAGGACAAAGACTAAAATGATGTCATCATTAATGTACGTGCACCTACTCGAGAAATAGAACCACGCAAGTTTTTGGCGTAGATTGTACTTGTGCCCCATCACGCAATGCTGGAAGACTACACTACACTCGAACCATCGCATTGAGAGCATTCGTATGTTACGTCATAAAATAAACGCTGATATTTGTAACATCTACCCTCCGTATCCTTCTCATGGTAAGGGTAGCAGGAGTACGACACATAGTTGACCATAAACCATACTTTTTGATGACGTAATATATGAACGCTCCCTTCGCTAAATTTGCACCCACTCTACTTTCACATTTCGTGCTGGATAAAAATATATTCCATAACGGCGAGAAGAAGGAGCCATTTCTCTCGTATCCTTACTTTTGCCGTGACATATTTAACTTATCGAAAAAAATGTAAAGTTTTTATAACTTAAGATACATAAAGTGGGGGTGGTTTGGTTCGATGGTGACGGTGGTCGACGGCGGTGTACCTGGAATAATGGAGAAACCAAGTTAACGCTTATCAGTTTTGTGGTAAGAACTCGAAATTTTAAATTTTCTGATAATTTTAACAAATACAAGTATCCAGGTGTACTGAATAAAATTATGTTTAACGTTTGTCATAATTTGGTGGTTAAAGACTAAAATTTTCACCTTGTGTAAGATCTTATTTTGTAAAATTGGGTGTTTAAAATGTTCTTAACATTGGAGTAGAAATGAATTTGTATTTTACTTAAACATAGAAAATAAATTTGTATTTTAATTAAATATAGAAATACGTATATAAAATAGTTGTAGTGTCTTGAAATGTAAAATTTTAGCATGATTTTCTTTAATAATTTAGATATGTACCTGCTCAATCAATTTCGTGAACCTTGTAAAACTAGGATGCCGAAATTAACTAAAACTGGAGGTACACAATTTTTATAAGAAATGATTTTATATGCAATTTTACCATTTAAATTGCAAGGATTGAGTATTAATGTTTAACAATTTGTGATTTTAGAGCTAAAAATTTGTCGTTGTTTATTTACAAACGGCGATGTTCACCTTCCTAAATCTGGATTCAAGTTGAAGTGGCGATTAAATTTAATTGGTTGACGGAAGACTAATTATTTCGGTAAGGGGACATAAATTTAAAAATGTCGTTTGGAGCTACAATTTCGAAACTGATTAGTATATGTATAACTTATTTACTTGTATAAACTGTTTAGATTGAAATTGTTACTGGACAAGCCGTTTTTATCGGGATTAAATGAAGCACCATTTAAAGGATGAAACAGAACAGGACCGGATGAAGTCGAACATCGTTCGTATTGATTTGATAATGTAGTCCATTAAATATTATTTAGGTTTAATTAGGTTAATTAGCATTTTGGCGTCACTTTACTCATATACTTACCAACCTAGTATCGTTGCATACTGCACCCCCCCTGAGAAAAAATCGACAATGTTTTTTTTGTAGAAATTCCATTTTGGAAAATTTTTTAACTGTTTGGAAAAATTTTAAAAATTTTTCTAGAATTTTATGCGGAAAATTATGCCCATCAAAGCACAAATTTCCGCCATTACATTATGATGGAATATGGCGTTTAATTGAACACGATAATTTGAAGTGCATTAGTATTCAGTGATTCTTATGCCGTCCCATTTTGGGCTAAGAAAAAATGTGTTTATGATAGATCGATATGATAGATTAAATGAATTATTTCGGAGATAACATAATTGTTATCTACAACTACTGCAGGCGATCCACCCGCTTAACGGTGCGACCGGGGTCGTCTCAAGGGGTTCGAGACGACCAATCGCTGTCGTACCAAGCCTCTTCAAAGAGGCCTCAGCCGGCCGGCTGGTAATTATATAAATACCGGATCGCATACCAATTTGAGCTGCACATAGCTAAATGTTACTAGCGTATTAAAATTCCATACAAAAAATACGATATGATGCACACGCATCTATGTGTGTAATTGTCAGGAACGCTTACAATCACAGCGAAGGCTAACGGTCCGTAGCTGATTCGCTCAATCTTATACTTGATTACCACCTTCACTCCAGTAGTGGCGGTCATAGGTCGGAGTACTCCGGCCTCCGGAGGCCGGATTACGCGACTTTTTCCGGAGGCCGGAGTACGCGACTTTTTTTGGAGTACGGAGTAGGCGGAGGCCGGAGTACCCAAAATATCCGATCTATGGTGGCGGTAGCGCTATAGACATATACATATATGTATTTTCAATTTGGAATCGGGTTATGTATGCTTTATATTACGCGACTTTTTGAAAGAATCCGAATTTTTTCACATTGGGGGGGATATTGGTGAGCGGCGGGGGGGGGGGGGGGGTATTTTACATTACCCACCACATGTAGTAGTTCCCCCCATATAAAGGGACGTTCAGATGGTTTGCTGAAATAATAAAAAAACGTTGCAAAAGTGGATGAAAACCTCTCTGCACATGATCTTATCCAGTCAAATGTGCTACACACGTAATAGACATACTAATTTCAACAACAAGGTTCCTGTTGTAACCATTCTTGGTGAGCTCTTGAATGCTCTTTTTGCCCCCTTCGTAGCTCAAGCCTGATGCGATTCCGCCAAGAATGGCGGTTCCAAGTAATCCAATGGCGGCCCCTATCCGACGTTGTCGTTTTGACAACTAGTTCGAATCGATTATGCATATATGCAGTTATCTATAATTCAAATGCAGCTGCTTAATTTTGACAGAAGGAAGCGCTGCTTGTAAATTTCATGCATAATGTAACATGCACGCAAGTTATTGGGTAATCACAGAAATTGAGATTACCCTAGGTCAATTTTTGTTTCACCTAAACTTCACTTGTAGAAAACTTAAATTTGCAAGTTTTTATTTGCTTGAAAAGCAATTGTAAAAGCTGCACTATTTAGACTACACCATTTAAAAAGGATATATATGGATTCCACCACAGCCAATCATTTATGGTATTAGATATATAGTATCCAATGAACAACCACGCATGGTCAGCGTAGTTATAGAATAGATGGTGCCCAATGTCAGTCATTTCTGTTATAAAAATTATAGAGTGACTGATTTAAACACAATAGGCTAATAAAAAAAATAAAATCATTATCGGCAGCTAGAGGGTTCAAAGGGGCATATAAATTTTCGGTTTTGGGAAGCTATTTTCTTTGCGTTTGTATGTACAGGGAAAAGCTACTTGGGCTAATTTTGTGTCAGAGTTTTCCAAGCCGAATACTACAGTTTATGTACTATTTAAAACTTTCCTGCTTGTTGTTAAGATTAACAGTTTTATATTTCCGGCAACGTGAGTAAAATATAATTTTACATTAGTCAGGTTTGATGGTGCTACAGTCAAATTTGAAATTTCTTTCAGCTTGACTCCTATTTTTATGAAGCATAGATCCTTGTAGAAAATGTATATTTACAAGAGATGCTTTTCAAAAGATCTTGTACGAGGACGTTGTACATATGGCATATCTAAACGAAACAATTTTTTTGCTATGAATTTAAGTTGTCCATATTTTCTTGAAAACTAACATTAGCAACATTGAATTATTTTTAAGGGAGAGTTAGGCCTTGTATCAATATAGAAGTACCTACCTTGGGTTCTGTCTCTAGCCTAGCTAGGTAAAAATTTAAAAAATATTTACTGCACCTTTTCATGATTTTCATCACTGCGAATAAAAATTACGAATCCGAAAACCGGAAGTTTTGGAGAAACTGCGTATTCGATTAAGCTTGCAGAGCTGAAATCTGCTGACGTTTGAAATACTTTATAAAGATAAACTAGGTCCTTTCTGACTCTAATGTTTGGAATTGAAGGAATAGCTACTCTCTCCAGAAAGTATCCGATGCTGAATCCAATATCAAGGATACGGGTCTAGCCTGTTTAGTACAGGAGTGTAGTAGCGTTCTATGAAAATCACTTATCTTTTATGAAAGCAGGAATTAACATTTTGTTTGTATGGTGAACTGAGTAATTTCACGGTTACGATTTTCCTTACGTGGAAAACTGGATGCAAGGACAAGTTAATTTAAAAAGACCCGTTTTATTTCGAATCTAAATTTTCAATAGGAGAAGAAACTTGTGGACTTGATACATTCAACATTTACAAGTTCCAGGAACAGACTGTTCGATTAGCTTAAAATGCCATCATTGGATATGTATGTACTTTAAATATATTATAGTTATCAGAAATGAGTATCATCGAAATTTCTGAATTAGGAGATATTTAAACACTCTATTTTCAAATACCGCGTTAAAGTTTAAGATATCAGTACGTACGAACTTGTTCTTACGGGTAATTATCCTTGTAAAATGTGTATATTTACAAGACACAATTAAAAAAATTCCAATGTGATTCATAGTACGTACAATCATACTAGTATTTCTTGCTTGGGCAGCTACTTTTCGCACTAATTTTGCATGGGGTTTATTTTGTTAGGTTTGTAGTCGAATCATCTACCATTTAGTCTAAGTGGGTCTAGAATGAATTACCTTAAACTTTGTATCCATAATCAGTTGCCAATAGTTTGGAATAACGAAGCATGCACATGCATATATCTTGTTATTCTTTTCTTCTATTCTTCTTCTGGAGGGCAATGATTCTCGTAAAAAATGTATGCATATTTACAAAGAACGTACAATCGGCGTATTTATAAAATCTCCGGCTTACTCTTATTAGTTACTTCTTGATGTATGTATAAACTCAAAAAGTAAAAAGAAAATGTGTCTGCAATAAAATCAGGTGAAGTGAAACAACCCAAAAAAAATGTGCGCAGAGGGGTTTTTCAGAAATGTGCCTTTTTAGTTTTAAGGATCACAAATGAATCTCAAAAAACTCAATAATATAGCGTCTTTAGCGTTAATAAGTATAAAAATTTCAAAGATATTTACTGAACCTTTTAATGATTTTCGTCACTGCGATTTGAAATTACGAACCCGAAAACGGAAGTTTTTGGAGAAACTGCGTTGTCCACTATTCTGTGGAGAGTGAGACGAAACCAGGTCCACTTGATAATCAATCAGGAACACACCTGATTTGAAAAATGTGCCCATAACTTATTGGTTTTCTACGCTGGACACATCTCACATTTATCTATCCTGTTAAGTAAAATATTGGATTTTCATCTGCCGATTGTAAACCTACGTGGTAAATGCATGGTCTGCAAATTATTACATACTATAACTGAACAGGGCTTCTATTTGAGTAGGTTTATTTGTAACGGGTGTCCATAAAAATGAATGCTTTGAAATTAGCATATTTTCCGACCTGAATTTAGTATATTACCTGGGAAAGTTAGGTATTCTGTGTATGTAATAGGGTATAACAAGTATGAAAAGTAAAACACATACGCGGTTGTCTTGTCTCATCTAGTGTTTCGGACATTACAATCATACACTCGAAACAAAAATTTGTCAAATAAGTATCAATATATGACTTAACCGCCTTGGTTAAAATATTGACTCCGAGTTATGACGATTCTGATACCGGCAGTTATAATGTTATGACCGGACGGAATAATTTGATTACCGCTCGGAATCGCAATTGTAACCAAAGCGGTTAAATCATAAATTGACACCGGGGGTGTTGATTTGACAAATTTTTGTTTTGATGACCAACACAAAAATCGACAAATTCGAATTCGTTGGCTGATATTTTCCGTTCACGTATAATTTGTAACCTTATCGAACACATATAATGTTTTGTAACCCCTTTTTTCTTAAATAATTTCTTCCTAATTACTGTTGTATTGACATGAAATGCAATCTTCGCATATGTACCAAAAATGTGTTACAGTTAGTAAAAAAAGTGATTTTTGTATATTTCTTAATATCGAAATATTCTGTTTTCCACATACCGCGGTAAACTTCAAAGTATCAGTAAGTATGACCTTGTCCTTGGCGGTGATTATGTGTTCTTGTAAAAAATGTACATTTACAAGATACAATATCAAAAATTTCACAATCTTACAAATAATAGCATATTGCACATATGTCTCGTTTCGACGAAATGGGTTTTATTTCGTTAGGCTTTTACCTGAATCATCTACCACTTAATCTAAGTTGGTCTACATATCAAGCTCTGGGCTTATACGTGAAAAAATTGCAAAAGAGTTAACCGTTGAAGCTTGATTATACACAATCATATCGACAACTTGATTATGTTTTGGGCATTCTAATTTAGGATCTAGATTTACGAAACTTCCTCTGTCACTAAGTTTCAGCTCGGAAAGATCTGTTTGGGCCAGGGTTCGGAAAATTCGGGGTGGCGAACCCTGGTCTGGGCTTTGAGGGAAATAGGTGCGACTCGGCTTAGAGCATACGGACATGTGTTTGCTGTACCCTCAGGTTTCATAAACGCAAAAAGAATTTTCTGTGTTCCAGCCTGCTTGCTGAGTCCCACTGTGGAATGTTTGAGTGATTGGTCAGATGAGCTGAGCACCTTTGGGTCTAAAATGCATATCGTGAAATACGAGAAATTTTGACGTATTTATGTATCAGAAATGAAATACACAAATTTTCCGGATCAAGAGGTGTGCATCATGCAGTGCAAACAGAAACATTAGGAACGGCAGACATACATACATTGGTTAGTAAATGCACTGCCGTTTTCTAGAAAGCGGCTACATTTAATAGTTTTTAGGAAATTAAAAAATTTCCTCAATGTTGTGTCTTTTCTGAAAAACGTAATTTCTCAAAGGAGCATTTCCAACACGAATACTAGATTTCAAGCGGTTGTAGAAAAATGAGTTAGCCTGGTTCTCCAATGTTTCCAGTTTACTTTCCTACGACAAAATGACTTCGTCGGTGTTTATGAGTTCAATAAGTACGAATTTTCTAGGTAATAATTTAGGTTAAGAATATATAAAATATTGTTTACATACGTATTACATGGACGTCATTATCTTCTCCATTACGGTTAGGTTGGGTTGGGGTTGGAATAAGGGTTGGGATTGGAGTTGAGTGAGTTCTGCTTTAGTCAGTCATCCGACCACAACCCACACGTTTCCACATACCCAGAGGTAGCTGGATCCACACAGCACCTACAACTCGGTGCTGGTTGGAATGAAGAACAATGTGCTACACTATGCATGGCGTCTTGATCTTTAGTCGATTCATCTAATTTTCTTAAATATAGTTTACATACTACTCGAGCTAAACTGATGACCAGGTGAGGTTCCGGTGGAAAATCATCTAATGACAACACGAACGTTGCCAGCGACCTCAGCGCTTTAGGCTGGCCTTTCTGGTCGACATAATGATTAGCTAAATCCTCAAGCTTAGTTGTAGAAATAAGCAGACTTTTCATGTCGCTATCGACATGATCCCCTACTATTACGTTATTAGCAGCGCATTTAGCCACCATCTTCTGAATAGTACTCAATTCATATCCACTTGCTAATTCGTACTGACTTACACCACTTTGACGCGTGTTATAAGAACAGGCTAAATTCGGATCCCAATGCACCACGGCATAAAGGATCACCTCACACTTCTCATCCACAATAGCTATGGCAGCAATATGTATGTTTAGGCTTTTACCTGAATCATCTACCACTTAATCTAAGTTGGTCTACAAATCCAGCTCTGGGCTCCGTTAAAGCTTAATTATAAACAATCATATAGACGACAACTTGATTATGTATTGCGCATTCAAATTTAAGATCTAGATTTGCGAAGTTCCTCTGTCATTAAGTTTCAGCTAGTAAAGATCTGTTTGGGATTTGAGAGAAATAGGTGCGACTAGGATTGGATTGCTACACCCTCAGGTTTCATGAACGTAAAAAGAGGTTTCTGCTTGCTGAGTCCAACTGTAGAAATTTGGAGTGATTGATTTTGGGTGTAAAATGCATACCGACCTTGACCTTGTCCTTGGCGGTGATTATTCTTGTAAAAAAGTATATTTATAAGATACAATTAAAAAAATTCCAATATCATTCATACTACGTACAAGCATACTAGTATTTCTTGTATGGGTAGCTACATACTTTTCTCACTAATTTTGCATGGGTTTTATTTTGTTAGGTTTGTACTCGAAGCATCTACCATTTAGTCTAAGTGGGTCTAAAGTGAATTACTTTAACTTTGTATGCATAATTAGTTTCCACTGTTTTGGAATAACGAAGTATGCATATACATATCTTATTATTCTCTTCTGATATTCTTCTAGGAGGTAATTATTCTTGTAAAAAATGGATGCATATTTATGCACAAGATATATGTATTTGCCAAAAATATCCAGTAGTCGGTATATGTACATATATATGCCTTGCTACAACGTTGCAATTTTTTCCCTATGCTTTTAAGTAATCCAAATTTTGTTAGGTTTGTACTCGAGTGCAAACCAATCAAGACCATTAACGATTAGTTTAAATCGGTTTAAAACGGAATACCTTAATTTTTAAAGGCAAAGTTGACTGCAGTAGGCAATTATTATGTACATATGGATAGCTACATATACTTATATATTTAAGATATCAATAGATAAATTATGGATTTTTAATAATACTTCAATTTAGCCTTAATTTAGCCCATAATTATGACATTCTAGCAAGACAAAATCCAATACAGTCAATGGAACAAGTATAGGCACCACCCACTCAAGCTACATAAAATTGCCTATAACTTTGGAGTGCATTATCAAATTAGCATTAAACTTTGTACACATTTAGCAAATCTAATGTAGTGTTCGATTATAATCATGTTTTATTGATTAAAATTGGATAAACACAGTTTTTAAATAATTTGTTGGAAAATATGTAAAATTAACCCGCAAAAAGTATTGGCACCCTATAACTTATAAAATCAGAAATCAAAGAATGGCCAATTTTATTACGTCACACTGCTTCTAATGTTACGTGGCACCTCCCCTCGACGCAATAAGAGCATAAATTGGCCGTGGAATGGATTCCACAAGTTTCTTTATAACGCTTTTCTATATGGCTGCCAAAACTTCTTCCGAACTTTTGACAAGCTCGTTTTTCGACGAGTGGTTTCCCATCAGTTCCTCTTTTCTCAACCCGGACAATCAGAATCACATCGGGAGACTGGGCGGGCAACGAAAGAAGCTTAATCTTTTCAGTCTCCAAAACTTGCACCGTTAAATTGGCCACATGTTTGGGGTTACTGCATTTTTGGAATATGAAATTCCTTCCTAGGTCAGGTTTTTGTCAAATGATTTCAAATTATGGTTTGTAATGATTAATAAGACCTCCCTGGTCCTGATTTTGTCGATACTTACCAGGTAACAACGCCGCGATCTAGTCATTTAACCCCAAACCACAATCGATCCTACGCTGTGTTTAACTGCCATATGCACATATTCGTTTTTGTGAGCCTTTTATGGCATCCGCCAGACTTGAACCTTTCAATTGGCTCCGAATAACTAATACTGGCTTATGTCGAAGCAGCAGACCCTTCTTTATTCAACGAAAGTCTATTTAGGGTGATATTTACCCCATTCCAATTTATTGAGCTTCTTCGTTTTGAGGACCCTCGCGTTTGTCGGGCAACTGGACCCTGAAACCCCATGGCATGATTTTTTATTGATCACTATATTGCATGATCTGTTGACCCCACAGGTCGTACTCAAATTGAACATGATTTTGGAGGTTGAAATATTCCGATCTCGAGTGATAGTTTGCTTGATTAATCCGTTGATTTTAGGATTAGGCGGCTTTTTTAGCCGGATCATAAGAAAGCAGGAACCAAAATCATTGCTTCATGTTCTTTGGCTACATTTCGAATATTAAATATCACGGAGCATGTTTCCTGTCTGAGTTTTTGATATCTAAGCTTGTTTGAGAAGGAGGCAAGATTATTTCTCGCTCCGCCAAAAATAGCTCGTTTGGTGTCGCAATCTTGGCTGTAGACAATACCAATCTGGACTTACGAAGCAGATAAAGTTATATTTTGTGATCTGATTAACTGACCGTGACAAAAGGCAGAGGTTTATCGTTATGACAATTTCGCTTAAATAATTAAGACATAAGGTGCCAATACTTTTTGCAGGTTCCAACCTGACGGGTTCGTATCAAAATCAGAATAACGTCACGGTTATATAATTTCAGTCGGGAACATGATTATAATCGAACACTACATTAGATTTGCTAAATGTGTACAAAGTTTCATGCTAATTTGATAATGCATTCCAAAGTTATAGGCAATTTTATGTAGCTTGCGTGGGTGGTGCCTATACTTGTTCCATTGACTGTATGTAGGCCGGCTTCAATAGTCGTTTAGTGTCACTTAAACAAAATAACGTCCGTTCATTTAAGTTTCCCATGGATGACGCGTTAGCGCCACTCTGCCCCTATCCAATGTCTTTTCTAAAATTCAATCACCTCCATGAGTTTTGAGATAAATGCAACTTTTGATATTTCAATGTAAAGCTAATTTTTGATGCCATAAGCAAATCGATTTGGAAAAAATTAGTGAATTTATTTGTGAAGAAAAATTGCAAACCAATTGGCCATTTTTTTGTTCAAATCGACTTGTTTGTAGTATCAAGAATTTGATTTACATTAAAATATTAAAAGTTGCATTTATCTCAAAACTCATTTACTTGATTCAATTCAATTGCATTTGAATACATTGGATACTTGTAGAGATTACGTGCCATCGCGTCATCCATGGGAGCCTTAAAAAATGTACGGTTCAAAGTTTTGAGCAAAAATACAGAATATTGAATACATACACCTGATTTATTGGGTACAAAAAAATCTCATTGTAAAAGGTTTCCACCCCATTTACATAAACTTTCTAAAATCTGCGAACATAAGTTTTTGCATGGCAATGTACGATCCAGTTTGAAACCTTTCGCCCACGAGATTTTGTGGCTAGCAAGTCAAGGATATGCACACCTATTTAGAATTATTTGATCCAATTCAATTCAACTAACGTTTCTTGGAGTTTGTGCGAAGGTTGAAATTAACAATCTTTACAAGGACAACAGAACGTACAATCGCCTTATTTATAAAATTTCCGGCTTAATCTTAATCCGTACTTTTTGATGTATGTATAAACTCAAAAGTAAAGAAAATATATCTGAAATAAAATAGGGTAAAGTGAAACAACCCAAAAAAATGTGTGCAGGCGGGTTTTTAAGAAATGTGTTTTTTTATTTTTAAGGCTCAAAAATGAATCTCAAAAAACTCAATAATATAGCGTCTTTTTAGTAACGATAGAAACTTCAAGGATAAAATTGACTGCACTTTTTGATGATTTTCATCGCTGCGAATCGAAATTACGAACTCGAAAACGGAAATTTTTGGAGAAACTGCGTTGTCCATTATTCTGGGGAGAGTGAGACGAAACCAGGTCCATCGACGTATTTCCATGGTCCATCCACGTATTTCCCATCCACTTATTTCGGTAGAATTTTGTGCAGACAGGGACGTATACTGTTTTGTAAGCCCTTTTTTCTTAAATAATTTCTTCCTAATTACTGTTCTGTTGATATGAAATGCGATCTTCGCATATGTACCAAAAATGTATGACAGTTATTAATAAGTGATTTTTGTATATTTCTTAATATCGAAAATCTGTTTTCCACATACCGCGTTAAACTTTAAACCTCAGTATGTTTTACCTTGTCCTTCGAGGTAATTATGTATTCTTGTAAAAAATGTACATTTACAAGATACAATAACAAAAATTTGTCAATCTTGTAAATAATCAAATATTGTATACACATACATATGCTTCTTCTCGCCGAAATTGGTCTTATATCGTTAGGCATTTACCTGAATCATCTACCACTTAATCTAAGTTGGTTTATTTATCAAGCTCTGGGCTTATACGTGAAAAAATCGCAACGGAGTTAACCGTTGAAGCTTGATTATACACAATCATATCGACAACTTGATTATGTATTGCGCACTTTAATTTAGGATCTAGATTTACGAAAGTTCCTCTGTCATTAAGTTTCAGCTCGGAAAGATCTGTTTGGGCTTTGAGGGAAATAGGTGCGACTAGGATTGGAACATACGGACATGTGTTTACTGTACCCTCAGGTTTCATAAACGCAAAAAGAGTTTCCTGTGTTCCGGCCTGCTTGCTGAGTCCTATTATCGAAATTTTCTCATTGACCGCATTGTATAAGCACTTTTGGGTCTAAAATTCGTAACATGAAATACGAGAAATTTTGACGTATTTGTGTATCAGAAATTAATTACTCAAATTTTGCAGTATTTTGTATCATGCGGTACAAACAGAAACATTAGTAACGGCAAATCAGTTTAGGGTACGCAATTAACATACTAAAGCTGAGTTTTCGATTTAGTCCTTGAAATTGGTCTGTACACTGCCGTGGAGAGCGGCGAAAATTAATATTGTTTAGGAAATTAAGAAATTTCCTCAATCTTGTGTCTTTGTGAAAAATGTAATTTCTCAAAGGAGCATTTCGAATACGAATATTAGATTTCAAGCGGATGTAGAAAAATGAGTTACCAAGGTTTTCCAATGACAACGCCCAACAACTCCTAAGCTCTCTCACCCTCTCGGCTTCCTGTCCTCCCGTCGGTTTTGGAGGCCGATACCCCGATCCACCCATAGGCAGCGGCTTCATGTCAGACCTCCTAAGAGGCAGGATGACATCCCACCTTGGGTATCCTTGCAGCTGGACGACCCCGTGCGAAGCACCCTCATCTATGGGGAGACGCGTGGACAGAAACTCCAGTTTCGTCCACGAAGGGTCTGGTACCAATGGAGCGCAAGACACCCACACCGCCACCAGGGCCTCGGGCTCATTGATTCCCACCGCCCACTTTGGAACGACCAGATGTCCATAGTCCCCCCACACCAAACGAAGAAGAACTTTTAATAATTTTTCCAACCTAAGCTATCAATTTTTGACAATCGTTAATTTTATCTTTCCGCATTAAGGCCTCACCTAAGTTTGTCGATTTTCCATTTTGATTAATTTCCACCAATTGTTATGTAATTTTGTCATACATTCTTTCCAGAATTGTCTAACCATTTTCCAGCCCTATGCACTTTGTATATTTTAAACATTTTACCATGTCATTTAGTGCCCCTCGGCATGGCACAACTCTGTTTCATGCACTTACACTAATACGTACGGAATTTTCTTACCTTACGTTACGATTGCGGGATCCACCACTGAAAAAAACTGGACAGTTGGAAACTTGCAGAAACCACGCACAAGCACTGCCACCACTGAAATTTGGACAACTGCAAAATAGACGCACGATCACTCACACCACTGACAATTGGAAACTTGCAGGAACAACGCACAGGCTCTTCCTCCACTGAAAATTGGCAAATTACAGAACCAAGACGCTCGACCACTCTCACACAGGAACGGATGCACTCGAATCTTTCATTTATATCCCTATTTTTCCCATCGTTTAACTTCCTGGACGAAGGCCCTCGTCCTAGATCGCAGGGAGTTGAATAGCGCAGCTTTTAAGAATGCAACCCATCCCTCCTTCCTCTCATTAATCGTGATTGCCTCAGGACATTGATGGATTAATGTCGCGATCATCATCGCGAATCTTCTCTCTCAAGATACAAGTTGTTAGACACAGGAATGGAAACCCACTTTCCATTCCTGTCTATTTGACCGACGGACCAATGACGATATAGCATATAGGTATACTCATTAGGTACCAGTTTACTATATAAACTGGCAGCAGCCACAGCACTGGGGTCGTTACTGGTAGAACGAGTCCTGACTGCTGCTGGCCTGATCCAACCTCTTTGCTATTGTGTGTGTGCA